AATTTATTTGCTTTAAAAAGCCCAAACCCCAACTACTGGGAGGTTGTTTATTTGTTTTTATAACTTTTACAAACTTTTCCTAACTTAAAACAGCTTCCCAGAAAAACTAAGTATACCTGCTCACCACATGAGGCATACTGCTACAGTGTAGAGGAGGAAGGGAGACCAAGTACTTTGGCATAATACACTTTGCTGTACAGAACTACAGCTCCAGCTGGAGCCCTGCGTCTGGAGTGACAAAAATCATTTGGTGGGACTGCTGCAGTCTTCTGTGCTGTAACACTTGCTGGATCTTGAGTCAGAAGTTGTTCTGTAACAATCTCTTGAGTCAGATGGGCCTAGAAGTTGTTCTGTAACAATCTCCCATGTGTGTTCTAGCTGTTCCAAGAGATGCTTCACCTTTTAAAGCTGAACAGCTTTTCCAATATGTTTTCTTTCCTTGTGATCTCACTGAGCTGCTCATTGCTTTTCTTTAAGAACATTTATTTTTTTTATTCTACTTTCATAGTTTCTGCCTTCCAACAGGAACAAAGTAGGACTTTGAGCAGCTTGTGGCAGTGTAGTCAAGAGAATGCTCTCAGCCAGGTGCAAGAAGTAGAACACAGTGGTTATGTATGATTATGATAAGGTTTGTTACTGGTACAGTATGTAAATATTGCCAGTGCAGTATCTAAACAGCAACTCTATCATCTATTACAATAGGTTATTGTATAATTAGATTGTGGTCCCTCCTGTGAGTCATGAACTTCTGTGAGACCCCTGTGCTTTCTAAGCTTCTCAGAGAAGTCTAAGCTTCTCAGAGCAGGGCGTGGCTGGGTCTACTTAGTCTCAGATATGGCCAACAGTTTATGTTTAAAGGGTTATAAGCAAGTTTGATTAGAAACATACAACTTTACAGTCTTTAGCCATGCAGAACTCACAATTACAAAGCACCTATGTAGTTACTTCAGGATTTTATCTCCATACTTGACCAGATTTTAGTGCTTTTTACACTCACCCATCCAAAACTGAATGTTCCCTATCTTTGGTCTGGATGTATCCTGCAGTCATCCCTGCTGGGGCTGGCCCACCTGGAAGCTGTGTGTGCAACCTTGGGAGACCAGTTGGCCCAGCCTCCAGTGGCATTTGATACCCTTATGCAGGCTGATATGCACCACAGTCAGTAGCAAACTTTTCAGCTCCCCCTTGAGTCCCACCCTGCCCTTCCTCCCCCTCTGCCCTCCCCCAACTCCGGATGCATCATCCAGACACTTTCTCCTGCAATACTCATTTGTTATTCTTGCCATAGGACAAACCACACTGCCCATCAGAGACAGACAGAAAGGGAGAGGGGGAGTGTATGTGTGGGGAAACGCACTCCAAGACCCAACTATCTCTTGTGTCAGAGAAGCGACGCTACTAATATTCTGTCATCCTTAATCAGGAAGAGGATGGGAGCAGATGGTAGTTGGACCTACACAAAAGCTCATCCCTCGTAAATTCTTTACCTTCTTCGTCTTGTCACTGTCCAACCCATGGGACACACTCATTTCCTGATTCTTTACCTCATGGTGGTGCTTCGAAGCTGGCCTAATTGTGCTCCTGCTGAAAGAATCATGGTCTGTTTGTCCCTGCCACTGCACTGTCCTTGTACCAGCAGGAGAGAAATGCTAGAGAATGGCTAAAAATAATCAGAGATGTAGAAGAGAGTTTTGTCTATTTCAGCATTGGGGCCACATTTGTTCAATACTGATGTGTTGATGTGATATGTCTGAGTTGATCTGCCACTATTGCTGGAGGTGAAAGGCCCTGTCTGTCCCTGAGAACTTCCCAGTGCATACCTGATGGTGTGATAGATTGCTCAGAATCCCAAAATACAGCAGAGATTAACTTAGTAAAACAAAAAGGTTTTAATTTGGTTTCTGAATTGAATTGAATTGACTTAATTTTCAGGCAGAGAGTCACCAGAGCCAGCTCATTGGAGAAGGCAAGTCAGAGCAACATTAGTAGGATGGCCATTTCTAGCAGCCCTAAAACATTCACTTCAATCTGACTTGGTTCTGTTTCTCTCCTCTCCATCCCTAAAATTTCCTTCTCATACTTTTTTATGCCGTTTTTCTGCTCCAAATTGTTCTGAGCTCTGGTAACTTTTTCGCTTTTCTGTTGCTCTACTATTGCTACATCCATTTGTCTTCCTCACCTCATTGGTTTTAGTTTCCTGACACTTTGAGCTCTCCCCTGTTTCTCCTTTCATCTGCATTTTTTCACTTTTCCCTGGCTTTCATTCACAGACTTCTGATTTGGTCTTGGTCTCCCTTCTTATCCTTTCCTTTCTTTGCTCTCAGAATCTATGCTTAGCAATTCCCATTCCTACCTTTCTACTCTTTCCTGTGGCTCCCCAAACTACCCTATCTGTAGCTATATCTTTGCCTGTGCAGATTGTTACTCTCAGTCAGTACCATGACCATACTAAGATTTAATCCCAAGTTTATTTCTCCTCCATTTCTTTTCACCACATGCAATGACTTCTTCTTCCTCAGGCTTTAAATGCCATTTTCCCTTCATTAATCAGTCTCTGTCTCTATTTCATTCCTGGTTGTCCTTCTTGGGCTGCAATTCCACGAACAAACAGTTCTTTCAGAGGAGTGCTGGGTTTTGCAGTGTTATTTTTATGCCTCTCAAGTTCCCTGATCCAGTTTATTGCATAGCCCATGCAAACAGTTGTGCCAACATGACAGAGAGGAATTGGGATGAAAGTATGTATGTTAGCCCTGATTTTGAACAACATGTCAGTGGGACCGGTCTCCCTCCATAAACAGTTTTGGGTTTAGAATCATAGAATCAACTGGGTTGGAAAAGACCTCCGAGATCATCAAGTCCAACCCTTAAACCAACACCGCCATAGTTACTAGACCATGGCACTAAGTGCCACATCCAATCTCATCTTAAAAACCTCCAGGGACAGTGAATCCACCACCTCCATGGCCCTGCTCTGACCAAAGACAAATTTGTCAGGATGGAAGATCTGTCCAAGGGGTCGGAGCACAGAGAGTCCATGGTGGCGGGTTCCAGGTCCACGAGCATGGCATGTGGGACATACTTGTTACCAGCAACTTCATTGTAGTAGACATTGATCCTCTCCAGCTGAGTTCTTTCCAGCTCACTCTCTGTAGTATCAGACTCACCAAAGTGCACCTGAATTTGTTCCTTTCACTCCAAATTCTTTCTCTTACCTGTCTGCATTCAGAGCAAATGAGATCTGCTTGCATGATGTCAGGGCACCAGGCAGCTGGAGAAAGCTGTTGTGCAGGTTTTGCCTGGTTTTTTAGTGCTTTTTATGTAGTGGTGCTTCTCATATCAAAAGAGGAGACTTCTTGATAGCAGTTTTTATTCCTATTTAGCATTTATCTGTTGTTTCTCTGTCATCTTGAGCTTATTTTACCTTTATAGGCTGGAGTGTTGTGTCATTTGGATTTTTTGGGGGCTGAGGGAGCAGTTTGTTGGGTTTTTTTTTCTTTCTTAGTGTTGAAATGGATTTTTATGTCCCAGTTAAAGTCTCTCCCATTAAAACAGAAAACAAAGAAGTGGTATATCTGTCTGGATGCTTTGTAACTAGTAGACTGTCCTTGTTCTGTGTCTTATGCTCAAGATGAGTAAAAGCTTTATTAAGCTTGCTCGAAGGACTCGATTTCTGCCTGGCTTTTGTCAGCTAACAATGGAACCATAATCTGTATCAGGTTTTATATTTTACACTATCAAAAAGTCCTAGTTCTTTAACTGGAGATGCAATTTCCTGGTATCATTAATCTTTTCATCTAACCCTTGACTATTCATAAAGTGAACAATGTCTTCTTCTCACCAAAACACCTCTCTGTCCTGTCAGTCTTGTACTCAGTACTGGAAATATTAAAAGGAGGAATGATGTCTGTGCCTCAGGATGCTAAATCATCAGTAGGCTGTTCATAATGTGTCTCTGTAAATGGATGCTGGTCCTGCATACGTTGTCCTGTATCTGGGAAGGCCTCTTTTGTTGGGGCCGTTGCTAGTCTTTGCTTACTCCAGTTGGCTCATTGTTGATTGAGTCTGTGAGGGTATCGCTGTTAAGTGTCTTGTTTGGGGGACATTTGCTTTTAGTATCAATGGTTAAGCTCCTTCTGGATCCATGTACATAGTACTGTATCCAAATAAACCTATGCCTGCTGGTGGGGACAGTGCCAGAAATAGCTTGGGCCTGTCAGCAGTGTTAGTGTCTGAATTTTTCCTTTGCTGGGATATCCCCCCTTGTTGTTAATCCAGAGGGTGAAGAGTTGACCAGAGCATGAGATCTCTCCATCCACTACTAATGGCCTTCTGACAGCAGTGATCCTTTAAAAAATTCATTCTCTGAATGCCTAAATCATCCCTTTTTCAGCAGAATACTTAAGTCTGTGCCTGCTTAAGTCTGTTCACACTTAGCTGAACTGGGTATAACCTTAATGGTTAAACTATTCCTAAAGCAGGCCGGCAATTAATTTAATACTTTATGGTTGCAATGCTCCCCTTTAATAATCTATGGCCTCCCACTCTGTGTATGCACAAATTATGTGTTTCTTCACCAGTAAGCCTCAAACGCTTTGTTATGGGGGTAGTTTCTTTTAAATATACTGGTTTATATCACGTGCCTGGTAAATCAGTTGCTATATAAAACAGGTCTTTCTAGTCCTGTTCCAGAAGACACTCATTTAGTAATGGATTAGTATAATTCAGGGCAGGTTGTTCATTGAAATACGGTGATGAAAAAAGTAACTTGTAGAATTTTGTTTAGATATCTTCTCTAAATGCCAGACAGAACAGTGATTGAATAAACTTAATTCCAAGTAGATACATATTTTGGGAATGCCACGATAGATCATGCTCATTTGAAATGTTTAATAAATATACTTATTAAACCTGGTCTGGTAGAAGGTTCCCTGCCCATGGCAGGGGGGCTGGAACTAGATGATCTTTAAGGTCCCTTCCAATCCAAAGCACTCTGTGATTTTATGATCCCAAATAACTCTGAATGTTCAGTTGCAGGACCAGCACTGCCTCCAGGCTACAAAAGCAGCTGTAGCTCAGAAACTCCTGACAGTGAAGACGACTCGGAATCTCTTCCTCTACCCAGAAATGCAAACAGAGATTCTGAAGAGGAGACAGAAGGAGATCCAGCATCCAAGTGAGTATGTTCTTACGTTATTTGTATGTTTACCTTGTATTGCAAATTAAATGTGTCTGTCTAAATTATGAGAAAGGGACAATGGTGTGTAAAAAAATAAAAAGGTAAACTCTGTACCTGTATAAGACTTTTGATTACATGTTCTGCATGTTCTTTGTGGTCCAGAATGTTAAGCTGACCTGTTTGATACCCTACAGTGGAATTAAGTTATTTGGGGCAATCAGATCTCTGTGTTTACATGTCTTATTTTAGTTTTGTAATTTTGGTGTTTATACTAAGGACAGGCACCACTTATCATGTACATATTTGGTACTGTTTTGCCCTGTTTTTATACTAGCTATCATTGAGAGGCCATAAAAACTATTTATGGGCATGAATTTATGCATTCAGTTAAGTCAACTCTAATGGGAAAAAATCCCTGAATTGTTTAGCAAGTAATGGGAGAATGCACATATTCTCATTTGGTGGGTTGATTACTCACAAGTGCTGTGTTTAGAATTTGTGTGTGTTTGTTTTAGGCATTGTGTAAGAGACCTGAAGGTCATTTTGCCATCTTAATGAATGTTAGAGTAATTATTACTCACTTTTTTCTTGTTTTCTTATTCAATAGTTTTTCAGTTAATTACTGGGAAAAATAGTACTCAAAATGCAGACAGTGTATAAAAATGGAGAAAGAAGTGTGCTGAATTTGAAATTACTTTGGGACTAGAAAATGGCATTTCAACATTAAGAATGCTTTTGCTGTAGAAAGAAGAGTAGTATAATGTGGTTTTTTGGATTTTTTTTTGTTTTTATTTTTTTTAAATTTTATTTCTAAATGTCAGAGCATTTTTGGAATGAAGCTTAAGCTCCCAATTTTTTAATTGCTTCAAATTATTTTGGATCCTTTTGCATTGTTTCCTTGGTAACGGTGGATATTTAGTACATAAGACCATCTGAAATAATTTTATGTAATTTTTCCTTTTTAAATGTAGATAATTGCTATGTATGTCAAGGTAATTATGAAGTGAAATCTGTATTTGCAGAAAGCCAAAAAGAATTCTTGAAGACGATGATGATGATGGCTTTTTTGGGCCTGCTCTTCCTCCTGGATTTAAAAAACAGGATGATTCTCCAGAGAGGTAATTAAAATGGAATTATATTCAGATTCTTTTCCTTAAAACACCATTATTTTAGATAAAATATTTTGTGTCACTATTGCAGAACACTTCAGTTGTGCACTTCAGATTCAGATGATTAGAACTAATTCTTCCTCCACATTCTGAGAACAGGAACAGCATTCCCTTGAAACAGAACACACAGCCCTCCTAGACCTGGTTGGAGAGAAAAAGAACAAATGTGAATTGTCTCAGATGTATTTTGAATGTCAAATTTCTTCCATTTCTTTTGATAGGTCTCAGATGCAGAAAAAACCCCAAATTGCAGGTATGAGGATCCATAGTTCTGTAGTTCATTCTGATCTGTGGGGAATTAGGGCAGTTAGCTTTTGTGTGGTGCAACACAGTGCAGACTATTAGAACTGTCATTTGCTAATACATCAAGGATTATTGTTTATGTGTCTCCAGGTACAAAACTCCTCTGAACAGTGTAGGTTTGTAGAAAAGAAGCTGTCAGGTCTAAGGAAATAAGCATTATTTATGGTCTCTGTCAGAAAGCTTTCCATTTGGTTGCACACGATTATAAAATACTTCCCAAAAATACCTATTTATGGATTTTCTATGCAGAATTCAACCATGTCTCACAGCCTTTTAGTCTTTACATCAACCTGTGCACTTCCTTCTATAATTTGAAATGATAATCCTTAGTAAAATTGGTGCTTCCAAGGGGATGCTTACTGACGAAAAGTACAATTCTCTTGATCACTGTTACCTTCCTCAGAGCAATGGGGAGCTGGTAGATAAAATAAAGCAATACCTGCTTGTCAGCGGTGAGTTTTCAGTTCTAGGAAGGTGACTCAGTTTATTGTTGAACTGTGTATGTAGTGTACCATCTCAAAGGAAATTTCCAAGTTAAATGTTTTTTCAGTTTTGATAAATTTTTATGATGCTTGATGCAGCTATGATGCAGCAGTTAGAAACTGCTTAAACTGCTGGAATACGGCAGTTAGAAAAACAAGATTTATGTGACCAAGGTTATTTGGAAGTATCCTCTTTGTGTATATTTGGTTATACTTTGCTGTAACCAACAAACTCTTTTGTATTGTGAGTATCGTGCTCAGTGGGCTTGTTTGGTGCTTTGATTTCCTTTTTCTAGTGTTCCGTATGCACAGTGTGTTATTTTAATTATAAAATTTTGGAGGTCACTAAAACTAATGGGATCTCACATTAAGCAAATAAATGCTTTTAACTTTTAATATCAGCAGAAGTAGCCTTCTTGCTTTCTTGAGTTTTGACATGAATACTCGTGGTAGGAAAAGAAGAAGAAAAGAAGCCTTGTAGTTTGAAGGTTAGGGAGTTGAGCACTAACACCCATTATGTAACCTTTGTCTTTTGTATGTTGGCCCAACTTCTATTTTTATTTATTTTATTTCCAAAATGCTGGATAACTTGCATTTACATTGAGGCAAGAGTCTGCTCTGTGTCTATGAGTATGAGAGATTAAAGCAGTAGAAGGCACTTGCTATCTTTTTTCCTGCCTCACCGTACAACTGCTCCTAGCACACACTGAGAAAGCAGATTGAGCAGAGCTGTTTTGCACCCAGCCTGATTCCCTAAATAGGTGGGAAAGATGTGATGTATGGGAAGAGCCTTGTCTGTCTTCCACCCCTGTACACCTGGGAGTCTGGTTGCACTGACACACTGAGGTGTGTAAGCTCTGCGGGGCAGAGACACTGCTGCTGACTATGTCCCTGCTGCATTGCCCTTAGCCTTGAGCAGATTGCAAGCTGACAGCCGACCATGAATAATTGAAACAAATGCAGGCTGTTTGTTTCAGTGTATGGACATACTGTTTATTAGTTTTGTGTGACACACTCATTCTTCTAGAAAAGCTTTTGTTCTGTTACATCTTTTCCAGACTTGTCAAAGCAATATATTCATGATTAGGGGCAGCTCACGTGGCAATTTGCAGCTTGTTGAAAATGGTTTGAATCATTCCAGCATAAAATATGTATGTGAAAAGATTTCCTTCAACTCTGGAAATTATATTGCTGTTTATCAATGTTAGACAGAAGTGCAGCACTCGTAAATATTTCTGAAGCGTTCACACATCAAGGTAAAGAGAGAAGGTTGTCTTAAAAAAAATTGTGTTATACATCAGAAGAATGCTGAAATGCCCATCTTGAAACATGCATTAACAAGGACTCCCAAGTCCAACAACAGGAGAACGTTCTTTGCCATATATGAAATGCAATATTCCTTAAATTAAAGCTCAGTCCATGATGAGTTTGGGGGGTGTTTTTGAACATGTATATATAGGTACTGAAGCTGGTAACAGCAGTAAAATGTGTTTTACAGCATTTTATTTAGATTGACTTCACCTATCGAGAGACCCTTTGGACATCCAGGAAGCTGTCAAGAGTCATGTCAGCTGTGTACTGCTGACAAGGCATAGCATTATTCATGTGTGGGGGGGAAAGGCATAGCATTATTCATGGGGGGGGGAAGTGTAAGAAGTGGAAAGTGTGGGAAGGATGAATATGGGAACCATTTTTCTATTCCTTTGAAGAGCCTCCGAGCTGTAACAGAATCAAGACAGAGCATGTGAGATTGATTGTTTTGCATAGGTTTCACAGATACAACCCACAACATAGATATTCGTATATCTTTTAGTAGAAAGCTTTTTTTTATAGGTTGGTTTAACTGTCTCTTCATGCAAAATAAAGGTACTTATATACTGAAATAAGAGATTTTTTTTTGGCTGTATCTCTATTGGTTTAAATTCAATCTCTTTAAGTTATACTGGAAATTTAAAACATGGTTTTAACAACAAAGCAATCAGAAAGGAAGGGAGGAAGATAAAATTGCAGCAGCTAGGTGGGGGTGGAACTTCATATTTAACCAAGATTTCTTGCCTGAGTTTGAAACCTCACCAGTGCCCTTGTCCTGGCCTGAGCTCTTATTTGTTGCTCTTGTTTGTATATCTGTTAGCTCTTCATCAAGACTTTCTGATTTTTATTTCCCCAATTTAAATCCTGACAATAATATCACTACAGCAGGGCTATAGTGATTAGCTTATGTGGGATGGAGAAGAAGACCATAATTAGCAAATTCACATGTCGTTACATTTGATCACCCTAAAGCTCAGAACTGAAGATGATCATAAACAAAAATCTTTGCTGATACATTGTGAGGATACTGTCACCTGGATATTTCTTCAGGTGACAGTTGTTTGGGGTTTTAATTAGCTTTTATTAGCTTTAAAGAACATTATGGTGGATTATTAAGAGGAAGTCACATACAAAAGACTTTCAATACTGCAAACACAGTTTGTAGTATTCTTTGAATTGTTTTCACCGTTGAAAAGAGATTCTCACATTCCTGTGTTTGTGGAGACAACTGAATTAAATTGCTTGCAGAGCTGCTGTCAGTGAAATTACCTGTAATCACAAAACTTTCCTTCTCTGATCCTCACTCCAAGGGAAAATAAACCTAAAATCAGAGAGTTCACTATTTCTGTTTATTGAAGGGCACTGAAACTGTGGTGCAAGACAAGAAGAACAAAGTTGGATTTGTTGCTAGAGAAGGAGGAGAAGGGCTTAACACCTTTCATTGCTCTTGAATCTGGTGAAGGAAGCTAGGGAAGAAAAAAGTGGATTTCCTTGACTATATGCTGCAACTTTCCTGGGATTTTTTTGCATCCCAGCTGTCTGCACAGACCCTCCCAAAAACTGGAGACACTCTTACTTAGTTATTTCTGTGGTGTGTGCATAGGGGGCACACTTGACATTGGGAGGAAGGAGAGTCACACTTTGCATCAATATTTGACTTCTATTTCTATATTAATCTGCTACATTTTTTTCCCCCTTCCAGGCCCATTATAGGTCCTGCATTACCACCTGGCTTTAAGAGACCTTCAGAGGACACCAGGAGTAGCAAATGTTTCATAGGACCATCTGTTTCATCAGAACTCAGTCCTCAGGTTTGTAAAAACAGAAGCCTTTTGTTTAGTAATGGTTAAACAAGTTGCAGCCTGAAAAAGACTACTAGACATACTTATCAGGATGACAGTTTAATTTTGGACCAGGAAGTGTCTGGAATATTTTTGCCTGGGTCAAATACTGAAGCATAACAAAGCCTTAAAAACAAAAAGACTGGTCTGGTTTGTTGTGCTTTTGCTGTTAGATAGATGGTGCACTCACTGAACACGAGCGATCTAGACATCCTAAACTGCAGTCACAGTAATTCTTCCTAATATTTTTCCATTATTTCTTTTGTTGTGCCATCCTTAACAAGTGAACATCCTGGAAAAGTTCAGAGTTTTAAAGGCATTAAAGAAGTAATGAAACCTATTAGAATGAAAGTATTTCCCTGTAGTTCCAGCTTCTACTCCTTTGCTGATGGGGGAGGAAAATGATCAAATGTTTCACAAATCTTCACCTCCTTAAAGATGTTTATTATTGGCTCCATTAAGTAAGTTTATCTAGAAGAATACAATCAAGAATGGTGTTATAGTGTCACTCTTTGTTCTTATCAATAGCAAGATAATACCTGTAACTGGGTATGAGGTGGTGCAGGACAGTGATATTGACACAACTTTTTGGTTTGTGTTTTTTTGACTGTTCCATCAGATTAGGTAAAAACTAGGTAGAAGTTTTGTAGTCTGATACCAAAATAAAGCATGTGCTACTAAAGAACATTCAGGACTAAGATATGTGATAAAATGCAACTAGAAGTATGGGGAAAATTCAGCACCCTGGACGTGGGCCTCCAGTACCATTCTGAGGGATCCGAATTGTCTATGGAAGGGGCTGGCAGACAGGGAGCAGCACTTCAGAGAAGATTGCACCCTTCTTGAGCAGCACCTCTGGCAGGATACCCTAAGGCACCAAAAATGGTGCTGGATACCAGTGCTTGGGAAATTGAATCTCTCTCATGCTATGATAAAGTGAATATTAATTCCTTGTGAGAACTCACCGTTATTTTGTTTCATTTCAAAATACTTATATTTTTACATTTAACTCCCAGACACTGTGGGAGATGCTAGGAAGCAAGGATGCAAAGGCTGCTCTGAAACTTCACTTTTTTGGTTAGTAGTTGCAAAGCATATAATTTTCCAGCCTCCTACAGCGAATGCTGTCGTAATCCATCACGAAGAAAGATTATCTGACATTTCTGAGATACTCATCATCTTATAACTCCAAATAACAATTAAGCAATTTATCATAGTGACAAATCTCTTGAGGCAGGGATGTCAAAACTGGTCTGCTTATATATTTTGCAAACAAAAAAGTCTCTTTTCTTATAAATACATCCTCTAGCATCAGCTTTTTTACAGCTATTACAGAACTCACCTTTTTTCTCTTCCTAATAATGATCTTTTTCTTACCACTTCCTAGTAATACTCTTTTTAAAATTTTTCAATTTGAGCAATTTTTGTTTATTTTGTTTTAGTTTATTTAATTATTTTATACTGTAGTACATCTTTAGAGGCAACTTATTTCATGCTGACTCTTCACTCTGTATTAGTGAATATAATGAATTGCCACTTATGTATTCTCAAGTAATGCTTTGTGCTTCCTGACTACACAGCCTTGTCATGCCTATTCCCATTGCTTTATCACCCACATTCCGACTGTGGCTAAATATTTGCTCTTTTATAGATATTGGGCACCTGAGCTTTGCTTCCAGGGTACCGTGGCATCACCATTTTCTGTCTAGTTTTGCCTCCATCCACATCTGTATTGTTTGAACTTGGAAGGAGGGACCTGTGAGCTTTCTGTGCAACCCCTGGCAACTACAAAGATTCTTATAAATCTCTAGTCCCTTACAAACTTAGTTTTTTGAGCCCTTCTCCAAATAATTGCTTAGAATGCAATGCCAGAATCACAGAATCATTAAGGGTGGAAAAGACCTCCAAGATCATCAAGTCCAACCTCTCACTGATCACTTGTCAACTAGACCATGGCACTAAGTGCCACATTCAGTCATTTCTTGAACACTTCCAGGAATGGTGACTCCACCACCTCCTTGGGCAGCCCGTTCAAATGTTTGACAACCTTTTCAGTGAAGAAATTCTTCCTGAAGGGATCCTGAAGGGATTGAAGAAGCAAATGACAGAACCAAGAGATAAGACTGGCAGATGCTGTACATCCAGGAGCATAGTACCATGCATGCCACTGTTACCCTACCTTGCATGGTAATCTTTCTATCATCCTTACAGAATCTAAGCTCGAGACAGTTCTTGCAGTGTGAAATTGTGATCCTTATTATGGAGATGCATCCAAATATTGCTAGTGATGATAAAGCCCAAAGTATCGAAGATGTATCCATGCGTGTTTCAAGTCTGCCTCCAGCCACAGAGGCTGTGTGGCCGTGTGCAGAGCAGTGTAAAGCAGCAGGACTTCGTGTACTGCCACTGTCCTCACCAGCCGTCTTGTCTCAGACAAGAGATGGTGCTTTTGGCAAAATGGAGACTAAGCATCCACGTTGCAGGGCTAGAACAAGTCTCATCTGGAGTTTTAATCCAGATTTTTGTTGTCTGACAGATGCATTGCATTAGGTTTATATGTTCTTCTAGACAAAATCATTCTAATCCTGTAAAGCTAAAGTGTTTCTTGATGCTCTCGGCACTATGGTTGAGGAAAATGTTTTGTTTTTGGAAGGTAACAGATAGTAGCGAGGAAGAAGACAATCTTATAGGCCCAATGCCTGCAAAAGGACCGGTGGAGTCTGATGTGACTGAAGAATTTGAACGCAGAGCTCAGAGAATGAAAGAAAAACTTACTTCAGCAGACAGCGTAAGTTGGATTTCTTAATTTCTAATAATTTGCTGGTTTGTATTTGTCTTTTTCTTTGCCTGTTTCTCTGTGAACCCAGTTGCAGTTCTGCTTGAGATGCTAAGTGTTTGCAGTTGTTAACACAAAGAAAAATCCATGATTTCTGCTGGAAGCTAAGAGATTCCGACAGTAATTTTTGATTTTGCTTTTTTTATTTCTCCCTGCCCCTATGTCTTTTGCAAAGAATGAACCTAAGCAAGTTACCAGGGAATCATGGATGACAGAGCTTCCACCTGAGTTGAAAAGTTTTGGATTTGGCCCAAGAACATTCAAGAGACGAGCTGATGACACATCAGGCGATAGATCTATTTGGACAGATACTCCAGCTGACAGAGAGAGAAAAGCCAAGGTGAGCATTTTTTCATTACTCAAATACACTTGCAGGCAATATGTATGTCGTTGATGTTCTGTGAAAAAACAAATAAAGGTACCCTGGGGTGTTACATGAAATTTTATTTCCCAGATTTTTCTTTGTTATCAAAATTTACTAATTTAGGCTGAAAAGTAAAGGCACTGAAAGAACAGTATTAAGTATAATTGATATTCATTTATTCCTGCTCCCTTTTGGAGTAGTCAGATACTCTGTATCAACTCATTGAATTTCCAATTAGCGTGTCCAGTTTCTTCTTCTATCAAGCTGAGCAAAATATATCGAGTGGGCTCCATCTTGAGCTGTATCCTTCAGGATTGATTAAAGTAGATATAGACTTCTTTGCTTTTTACTTCAGACATTCTGATTATTATAGTGTGTGATTTGCTTCTACTCATCAGGAAAGAGAAGAGGCAAAAAAGTCAACGAGTAAGGATAAGGAAGAAATAGTGTTATCTGGGAGGGACAAGAGACTCATTGAGCAAGTGACTTCATACAATGTAAGTGTAATCACAAAATACTTCCTCTTCCTGTATTTCCTTTAGTTCTTTACTCTTTTCTTCTGGTTCTCATTTCTAGTGCTGCTGGTTCCCATGGTGATGCCACCACAGTTTTCCCTTTTAGTGCCCAAACCTACTGCTGTTTTAAGTCATTAGAACATATGCCATTGACTTCAAAAAGAGTAGGATTGGGTCCTCTCCAAAGTGACAGAATTTGGGTTTGTATATATTGTCTCAGTTTTAGATGGTGCTTTCCTTAAATCACCCTCATGTCAGGACATGGTTGCTGGGAGTAGGCAACCTTAATTTAAATATTAGCTTGCTTCAACACATTACCAGCATCCCAAGAATAAAACAGTGGTGGGGGTTTAACTTGTAGGACAAATATGCATTAACCTAAAAGAGGCTTGGTGGGCCAAGCAGATCAATGTGTTAATTACACTACGTCATTAATTACATTAACTGCTCATTACAGCAACTTCCTTACATGTAGTTTTCCTCAATCTCTACATGAGCAGATAATTTTCACAGACAGATGTTGATTACTAGAAATCTGAACTCCGTGTCAAATTTCCTCACTTTTCTGTCTACCAGCCCTGTCCACTGGAGTGTATAGACTGTTGCCTGCCTTACAGCTGTTAGTTGCAGTTCTTCCCTGATGTACGGCCTGAACTCTTATGGAAGGCAGTCTGGTCTCTTGAGAGTATAATTAACTTGAGAATCACAGCCTTGGTGTATTTTACATGAATTATGTTTATCTGGCTCTTCTAATAATTTATTTGTAGTTCATTAAATCACATGTCCCTCTTGACTTAGAGACTTGCAAATCTGGTGCTATTAGCATTCTGCCTTAAATTTCTTCTTTACTGTTTGATTCTACTGTCACTATGAATATAGTAGAATAATTTTTGTGTAAAACTTGGGTTTTGCTCTCTACCATTGACAGAATAAAACATACACAGGCCTTTACTGTCTCTAAGGTTAATGGAATTCTCTCAAAAAAACTGGAAGGCATCTTGTTTAAGGACAGTGTTTCTTGGGTTGTTTTGTTGGGGGGGTTTGCTTGTTTGTCTTTGGTTGTTTTGCTTTTGGTTTTGTTTTTCTAATTAACTCTTTTCTGATTTTCAGGTGGTTCGTTATGGGCTTTGTCTTTTACAGTTTTTTCCTCTATTCTTTACTATTTCTGACATTTACCAAGGCTACTTTCCTAGAACAGGAGCTTTCATTCTTAGAATAGTTTCTTACAGTTTATTCTCTCAATGCTGATGTTACATACATTCTCTGGTGCAATTCTGTCAACACTGACACGGTTATACCTTGAATAAGTATTGTCCATTTTCTGTTTTCCATGACAATAATTTCTTATGTCATGTATGAACTATTATTTGTATGTGTGATGAAGTTAGTGTTTGCACAGGAAGTAAAGGAAAATGAACCTTTGGAATAAAAATCACGAGAAAAGAGAGCTGCTCATCTTTTGCACTTTCTGATGAAAGAATTGGTTTGGATACACAAATGCACTGTATCTGAGTACAGGATGGACCACATGGTGTTGTGAGGACTAATCCTGCTGCTGTGTGAAATCAGCAAAAGTTTTATGTTGTATTTGGGCTGGATCATGCTCTTTAAGAAATGGAACTTAAGCCCTTGGCTTGGCAAAACACATGCTCTAGCTCTAGCCTGTGACTTTGTCCTGTAAGCTTTCAACAGATGATTCAAATTTAGGAGCATACATTAAAAAAACCACTGTAGTGCATGAAAGTAAGATCTAAAGGGTATTTAGCTTATTCCTGCCCCAAGCAGTGACCAAGCAGGTGCTTAGGGGATGCATATAAGAAACTAGGCCTGTGTGTTGAGATATTTCTCTTGATGTCTTCATTTTTCTCTGCTAATAATGGCAGAGCAACTCTTCTATTTCTTTTGCGTTATTTTTATAATTTATCTCCATTGTGGAGATTCAACAACATTCTGGGCATCTAACATCAGTGAATTATTAGTATTTTACTCAGCCTAGACAAGATTGCTCATATTTTCTGCTCCATGTGTGCTAAATTGATGATTCTATATCCAGTTACTAAGCTGTCTTCTTTTTCTAGAATTTTTAGTCTTCCTCACTTCAATCTTTACATTCAGGTTTTCTATATGTTGTTCATATTCTGCAATAGTTTACTTCCTCTTCTTTCTTCTCATTATTTCCAGGAGTCAAAGAGGTCAGAATCTCTCATGGACATACATCAGAAAAAGCTGAAGAGCAAAGCTTCTGAAGAAAAGACCAAACCTCAAGAAAGAAGGCCATTTGACCGAGACCAGGATCTCAAAGTCAATCGATTTGATGAAGCACAGAAGAAAGCTCTTATAAGAAAATCCAGAGATCTGAATAGTAAATTTGAGCACAGTAAAGGCAATATGTTTTTATAAGATAAAAGCTTTTTTGAAGTCAATTAAACTTTGCATACTTAATTTTTGTAAGTATTTTTCTGTAAATATTTGTATGCAAAATAAATATCCGTATGCAAAATAAATATCCTGATGTTTAACTATTTTTCCTTGTCTGTAAATATGCTGTTAGGGAGGATCACCTGTACTAAAACTAACCTAGTAAAGGAAAGTCCTGGTATAGAAAAAGATAATGTAAATTTGCTACTTTAAAACTTTGATATGTATATTTTTTTGTTGTTAGTATATACATAATTAATTAAAATAGGTGTTATTTTAAGGAGTGCTAGATTTGATCTTGAAATGCAATTGGCAGTTTTGCCTTTTCTCCTTCTGCACTTAAGATATTCTTGTTGAGCCTGACCTGGAGGTCATGGAAAAATCCCCCTTAGGCTTGTGGGCAGAACATTGCTTGCCTGGAGTTCCTGCTGGGGAGTATAAACTCAAATGGCAGCTTTTATATCTACCCAGTGTTTTTATTTATGTGAATGTCTGTCTGTAAATAAATACAGGTTTATATATACAGTATAGTTTCTGTACTATATCAGGAAGAGCTAGTGGTAGCAGAAGTAGTAAAACCTTGAGGTTTTCAGATTTAGTTGTAAAATAGTATATGAGAAGACAAAATCTAATTTGAGTTCCAATTTTTAAGGCTTGTCAGCAGAAATCCATCTTTTTTTAAGCAAATGCAACAGGAAAATCAAAATTAAGCTGATTTTGTCAGTTAATTTGCAGAGCAGAACAGCTCTTCTGTATCAAAAAGGAAATAAATCTGACATTTAAAAAAGCTTATATTCATCCTTAGAGTTCTTTACCTCTTCTCTGTGTGAGCAGCAGGAAAGGTTGCTAAACACTGGAACAGGGCTGCCCTGGGAAGTTGTGGAGTCACTACCCTGGAGGTGTTCAAGAAATGACTGGACGTGGCACTTAGTGCCATGCTTTAGTTGACATCCTCAATCAAAGGTTGGACTTGATGATCTCAGAGGTCTTTTCCAACGCAATTGATTTTGTGATTCTGTGTTACTCAAAATTAGACTTGTACTTTCACCCTTTTTGATTTGAACAGTGCTTGGGGTCCTTTTTAGGGAGTTACTGAAATTATTGATATGTGGAAATAATTTTATATATGAGATGCTGGTAACTTGTTTGGAAGTATTGAATACTGTGGGGTTTGCTGTAATTTAAAAAAAGGCTGCCCTGATAGATGGTGCCTGGGTTGGTTCACATTAATGGAGCAGTGGCCTAACAATCCCCAGAAACGAATGGCTAAAAACTTGGTCTTATTTTATTGCACATGGGCCTGAGCCCAAGCCACAGGCTCTATGGGCTGAGAAGTCTTGGAGAGTTTCCAGTGTTGCAAATGAATGCTTACATAGAATGTATTTAGATACTGCTTTTTCTTTTTTAATAGACAATTTATTTTGCCTCTGAAAAATCTGCTACCTTCAGGAGGAAGAGAGACTAATTTCGTATTGTATTTTCTTTTTCTTTAATCCATTTTCAGTTTCTGAGCCTTTTGTTTTGAGGTGAGAGGAGGGTTTAAACAAGGGCTATTTATTTTTCCTCTCCTAATACAGACTTCTCTTAGTGCCTCCTACTTTTTTAACTCAGCCAGCAAGGCCTCATTAGATTTCTGCTTTCCGAGCAAATATAGATTTCTTAATTGGAAAAGCAGTATTAGAAATGTTTGGGGTTTTCTCAGGAACTGAAGCGATGACAGGGTAAGCATGATGTGACTAGCTAAATCTTCACAGTTGACAAAAGATTATTTCATGAGCACGTCGTGCAGTCCTCACTTAGACAAGTCTGGAGCAGGGATGAGGGCTGCTTGTATGAAGATTTTGTTGTTGTTATGTGCTTTGTTTTCGTTTTTGTTCCTTGGTCCCTCCTCCTCCAAACTGAGGACCAGTCATCAGGTGGCTAGACCTTGCCATCCAACTGGCTTCCTGCTGTTTGCTCTCTGCCCTCCCCAGCTCCATTACAGTCTCCTGCCCTCTCCAGGGATACGTTTGAGTGGAGGCTCTGCAATGTTGCTCAAGAGGAGAGCTCTTGTAACAGGAGTGCAGGCAGGCCCTTTGCGGTCCTACATTATACCTCTTGTATGTGGGACGTGTGGTTTTAATTAGTGAAGCCTTGATGAGAACTGGAAACTTGTTTTCAGTCATCTGCTGAATCTTTTCTTCCCTGCTTTCAGGCAGCCTCTCAAAGACTTGATGAAATCCATGTTACAAACTTGGGAGAAAGTGGAATTGTTGAGAGCTGAAGTTAAGCTTTTCATTACTTTGTGTAAATTGAGTGAACCTTTGAATTGCCCTAATATACAAACTCATCTCCTCTTACCCATGTGAAGCCATTCCCTCAAATAGCCATTAGAACAAGCAGTAACTCAGTAAATTACAAGCTTTATAAGCTTTTGTGGGAAAAGATGAGGCATCCTCTACAGTTTGGACAAGTTGTAAAGCATTTCTGCAGAAATGTTAGGGGGTGATTTTTCAGAATCTCATTTGAAAAACCAGAATCTATTTCATAGAAAATCCTCTCCATAATTACTATGTAACATCTCTGGTAACCAGCTCCCAACACAGATTTAATATATGCTATTGCTATTCTGCAGCGCCAGCCTGTGTCACAGCATATTGACTCCAGGCATATCAGGAAACCCTGTTTTGCAAAAAAAAGTGGCAGGGAGATGTGAAGAGTCTACCAGCCTAGATTTTAAAGTGCTTGCCTTTGGTTCGTGACGTGCTTTTTAATACTGATGTTGAAAATTTCTGCTCAAGAGTAGGATCCCCCTCCTTCTGAAATGTTAAATAGGTGTGTAATTCATAGTGTGGTCAATAAAAAAAAGGCTTTTGTGGGAGGCATATGATAAATTGGAAGTTTAAAAGTAATTTTAAGGAACATTATCTGTTAATAAGAAAAAAGGAAGAAAAGAAAGAAAACCAACCCTTGTTGAGTCTGCTGTTACCAAGGAACAATTAAAAGCAATAAAGGCATTTCAAGAAAATTTACTGATTTCTTTACATCTACCATGATGTTTGAGCTGGAAAATTTTGTTAGAATATGATATAGTAATACCCGAGTAAAATCCCTATCTCTGCTCTTTTGATGTGAACACCTATTTGTGGAGAGTTATTTTTTACTTCTGCTGTTGGTGTTGCTGGATGCCCTGTGCATGCTGGCTTTTCTGGATGACCTGCACTTCCCAAATAATAAACACCAATAGCAATGCATTTTATTGATGGTTTTGATGGCATCATGTTGTTGGCAGCAAAGTGGCATTGGTGAAATTGCTTTCTTCTAGAAACATTGAGATGAAACATTGATATATTTCTGTCCACTAGGAGAGGGGGTTTTATGTATAAAAGAAGTTTTTAAATGCTCCAGAGGACTCCAAGAGTTCAGAGCTAATTGAGCCTGGGGACTTGTTTTGTTTCTGAAATGAAAACCTATTGTTATTTTTGTCCAGCCAATTATGAATCATATGTTTATTTAAGAGTAATATAGCATTAAAAATCAGAATCTGTGAACATGCATCCTCAACCTCTGCCACCCTACCTGCATACAGTGCATATAGTTGCTAATTGTGTGATTACCTAATTCTCAAATAAAACACATGCATGTGATTTTCTGTCCTTATGAATTGTGTGCAGTGGCTTATATGCTAGGGAAAAAAAAACCACAACAAGTTATGCAGTGTCTTTCAGCCAACATCTTTGGATTTTTCTCATGTGCTTACAAATGAAATGGTGTCTTTTTACATAAGGAATGCAATGGCAGCTCCCAGTCGTTGTGCATCTGTGAAATGCATCTTCCGTATGCTCCCAGCTCTGGCAGATGAATGGGAAGTGGTGACCCTCAACAGTAAGTCACCCGTGTGGCATTTCTGTCCTTTCCAAATGTGACATGGAGGCTGAGGCATTACCTGTTCAGAGCTGATTTTTTTCATAGCAGCCACTTCTGGGTCCTCCCAAAGTGACCATCACTGCAACAGGCAAAAGCCTTTCTTCATCATCCCATCTTCATTTCTTGTGGTTTCAGTCATCTGTTTCCTTACACTGGTCTTTAAACCAGTAGTAAATCCCATTGCTCTTAGAAATTATACCATTTTGAATCAGCATGGCAAATCAAGCCTTATTTTTAAAAAACAAAGTCTTCCTTTTAGAGTGGGAACTTAAGACTCTAGGAGACAGCAGCACAGACTGTCATTTCAGCAGGAGCAGCTGCAGCTGTGACTTCTTCCAAATAAGTATTCCAAACATAAATCTTCAGAAAGAATTCTCATAAGCAGACTTTAGAGGAAGGGGGAGGAAAGAAGTGGCTGGGCCAGGCTCTCGGCTGCTTAACATAGCAACCACTTGCTTCACTTCATAGGGCTGTAGTCACTTGTCCTTGCACATGTACACCTGGCCAGGGGTTTGACTCTTGAAGAGCCTCTCTCCCTACCTTTGCTAGTACCCGAGCTGCTGCAAAACACCTTGTGTACATCAACAAATACTTTTTGCTACATCTTAAGTTGTGTGAACCCTGGAAGAGCCCTCGCAGCTCTCCCCATCACTGGTCCTGGAACAAGCCAGTTGCAGAGTTTTGTGGCTACTGCTTTGTGTTTCCTAGGATATGCCTTTAGATCTTGTGGGTTTGTACAGGCTTGCCACCCATCAGCTTAGATCAGGAAGGAATTTGTCTGAGCCCAGACAAGATGGGGAGAGGAGAAGCGTTATTACATCAGCCACAGCTCAAGGAAGAGAAGACCCTTTGCCCACTGGAGCTTGATAGACGGGTTTATGGTAGAGCAGCAGAACTGTGGCACAATCCTGACCCTGTCAGCTGCTCTGGTAGAGTCCTGCAAGCCAGACTTTTTTTCAAACAGCAGAAATTCTGGAGCAGGAGAGCCCCACGAGTACATGTCTGCTTTCCTTAGCTTGAGCAGCAGCCCTATTGCTCAGTAGGACCCATTTCTTCATTAGCCATGCCCCTTCCTAAATAAACATCTTGAAGACACTTCTATTTAGTGTCTGGCCAGACAGCCTAGGGGGGGCTCACACAGCACTATTGGGCTGGATCCATCCTGGCTGCTTGGCTCATA